CTGAATCAGTGAGTGAGGCTGTGAGTGAGGCTCCATGGGAGCCCAGAATCTGGTGGAAATGCCTTAGCCCCAAACACTGACTGAGGAGCCCCCTGGTGTGTGGGGCCCTGAATCCTTTGTCTCCCACCCCCATGATGGCAGCAGGTCAGAGGTCAGCCTACCACAAGGCAGTCAGAACCAGGAGTTAGGGGACTTGTTCGAGGTAACACACCTACCATGGGGCCCTCTCTGAAATTCAGTGTCCCCGGACGGTGGAGGGCTGGAAACCTCCTGAATGGTGGAGTCCTTTCCACAAGAACAGGCCTTGATGGGACAGGCAGAGGTAGGGCAGGCTGGGTGGGAGGATCCACACTCCCCCCCAAAAAAACCCTCTAGTCCACAGCCTGTCCCCATGTGTGAAGGGACAAGGACTTCCAGGATACCTTCACAAGGCAGGTAGCAGACGGTGGAGTTGTGGGAGAATAATGGAGGGGATGAGGGAGAGAGATTGGACTCCTTCGACAGGCTGTGCCAATAATGGGCACCCTTCTTTGGGTTCAGGTCCTTGCTCAGACCGGAAGGTGGGCGATGACAGAGAAAGGCCGCTCTGCTGGAAGGCAGGGGAGGGGCAGATGAAGCCTCGCTCTTGCCTGGGAGAGGCCTCAGGATCATAGGAACCTGACTGCTGCAAACCTGCCTGTGTGGACGGACCATTGAGGCCACATGGTCCTGCCTGGTCCCCATGCCCACACTCCTCAGCCACACTGTACAGAGAAGGCGACTGAGTCCCCGAGGGAGGCAGGGAGCCACCCGAGGTCACACAGTGGGTTGTTTGCTGAGTCCGGCATGCAGGGCTGCATCCTCCTATTCATGCGACACGGAGTGGGCCTGGTCCAGTCGGGCTGTGCCAGAAGATGAGGACGTGGTGCTCTGGCTTGGGAAGTAGAGGATGGCGAACCAGCAGAAGATGAAGACACCTGGCAGAGAGAGGGCCCCGGGTGAGCCTGGGCGGGTCCAGTGGGGAGCTGAGCAGCCACAACTGCTGAGAGCAGAAAGAGCCCTATTGCAGGGACCAGCAGGTGGTGTAGGGTTAAGGCGCAAAACTCCAATGTAGTCCACCACAGTTTGAGTCCCAGACCTAGCAGCTTGAAACATGTGTGCCCAAAATCCCGAGAAGAGAATTGAGGAAAAGGGATTGTGGTGTGGCCATGCCCCCTGGGAGTGACTTCTTGCTTTCTGTCTCTCTGTCTTGGTTTTCATCTCACTGTCTCTGTCTCTCTGGCGAATGCACGTACCCTATAGCAAAAATCTCTCAGGACCAGTAGTTGGTGTAATGGCTATGTTGCTAGACTCCCATGTAGTCGACCACGGTTCGAGTCCTGGACCTGGTGGCTTAAACTCACACCGGGAGCATGTGCGTGTGTGCCCAAGATCTCAAGAGGAGAATGGAGGAGAAGAGATTGCGGTGTGGTCATCCCTGCTGGGGGGGTTGATTTCTTTCTTTCTGTCTCTCCGTCTCTCTTTCTGGCGAGTGCACACGCCCTATAGCAAAAACCTCTCCAAAAAAAAAAGAAATCTCTCAAAAAGAAGGAGAAGGAGAAAAGAAAGAAAGGAAAAAAAAAAAAAAGAGAGAGAAAGAAAGGAAGAGTTCCATTGTGGAAGTTCAAGTTTCTAATGAAAAAATCAGATAAAAATAAAGCCTTCCCCTGAAAAGGAGCTAAATACAAGTCTTGGCAATAAAAAGCAGGGTCCTTGAAAGAAAATATATGCATTCATCCATCACAGAAAAGAATGAGAAAAATAAAGGAGTTTTCCAAAAGTACAGAGCAACCCCCCCACACACACACACACATACACGCTGCCCCTCTGTAAGGGATTATCACAGGGTGCACTGCAGCACGAAGAGGGAAAGTGTGGGGCAAAGAAATTATGGTAAGGACATGAGGCTAGCAGGTGGCATGGAGGTTAAGGAGGCTGGGTCCCACATGGCTGACTGTGCGGTTTAAATCCCAGACCAGGCAGCTTGAAAATTACACCGGGCATGTGGGTATGTGTGCCCAAAATCCCAGGAGGAGACTGGAGGAGAAAGGATTGTAGCCTCATCATTCTTCCGGTGGGGGGCGGAAATTTCTCACTTTCCCTCTCTGGTGAACACATATGCCTTATAGTAAAAACAAAACAAAACAAAACAAATTTATGGTTTAGGACAGAAATGGATTGAGAAGCAAAAGCTTTATGTGTGTTTAAAGGAAATCAATAACTGAAATTCTATACAACAATAAAAATATTGAGAAGAGTTCAGTGGGCAAAGTAGAAATACCGAGTAACTCAGACTCGACTGGAACTTAGCTCAGTAGAGAGAAGCATGCAGGCTTAAATATTACGGTACTTGCTGAAAGAGTAACGACAACCTACAGTTTAAGGGGTGCCTCTCCCCAACTCGTAACTCTGCGATTTTCTAGACATGGACTCGTGATGCTTTGACTAGGGACACCCTCAGATTGCCTAATAGTAATACTTTCTGTTGTTTTCAACATAGCCCCATATACTGATGAACTAGTGGGTCCCCTGCACGCGTTGAACAGTATTCGTTCTGAAATCCGCTGAGATATGTACTGGGATACTCCCAACTTTGGAGATGAATGAAGATCAGAGGAGCCGAATGACTTGCTGGTGTAGATGAAGCTGGGGTTTGAACCCAGCACTGCCTGGCCCTACCCACTGTGCAACACAGTCTCACGGGGCAGTGGGATCCAGCTCTGGTCTCATGGGCTGCACCACTGCATCGGGAACACCTGGCTCCCTAGCGACTCCACTGGATGGAGTCACGTCACCTTGCCATGCTCAGAGAGGCTGCCCACACAGGAAGGTCCCAGGTTCGCATCCAGAGACCTCCCTGAATGCACCAGGTACACCAATCTCGTGACCTGGGGATGGAGGTGCGGAGTGACGGCCCCATTCGGGGTATGTCTGCCATGTTGCAGAGAGAGCATTCTTTCCTTCCTACTGCCACAGCTCCTTAGAGACCCTGACCATATCATGTGGGCATCAAATCACATGACTCTGCCCTCCTGGTCACAGTCGAGTGGACCAGAGATGAACACCTGACTTAGACAGTCGCAGAGAGTTGGGATGGCCATGTTGGACAGCTAGTGGGGGTGGGG